CATAACTTTCTTCATGTCCTCAACCGCCTCCGCAGATGCAGCTTTACCTGAAAGTGTCACATTCCGTAGCCTCGTCCTTTTGATAAATTTGTACAGCCAGCCTGTAATTGCTGTGAACTTGCTAACTTTGATGGACTTCCCTTCCTATTCAAGTATCCGAGACTTTATTTCGTAGGCTTGGTTTTGCAGCATGGGGCCAGTGAGAGGAGGTTTTCAGCGCTGCATGTCTTCTACGTATAATTTAAGTACTTCTTCCATCTCACCATACATAGCACTCTTCAGGTGGAGTTTACCCTTGGCAACATCTGGTGAAGCATAAGCTGCTCTAATTTTCTTCTCGTTGAGCTTTATAGTGCGGACAGAGCTCTCCGACAGTCCAAATTGACGTCCCACTCTTGAAGTACCATTTCCACGCTGCAGTGCTTCCAGCACCTTGATTTTCTGCTCCAGTGTAATTGCTTGCCTTTATGTCTTGGCTTTTGGGGTAGTTAATGCTGGACATAATGGCGATGGTTGATACACGTGGTAGAAGAGATAGTGTCACACAGTATGTCCGTTCACTAGAGCGTCAGAAGGAGAACTGAGGACGCGTGAAGGTGTGGGAGGGTGGTGGACAGCAGTGTAGAGTGTCCAGAGACACATCTGGTGGGAAACATTAGACCTGAAATTTAAAATATGATGTACCTTGATTGACTCGTGCAAAACAGGGAAGATTCGCTTTAAATTAAAACATTGTCCTTAGCTGTGGGTGTCGCTTTAAATCAATAATCTTAAATAGATTCGCATTAAATCGGCGTTCTACTGTACTATATGTTGTTTCTATGATTTTTGTATTTTTTATCCCAAATCTACCATGTTCATTTGCTTCACTGGGAAGTTTCAATGACGGTTCCTTTCAAAAATATATATACGTATATTTTTTTTGTGAAGATAAAAAAAGATAAGTAGTGTTTTATGTTAGGTCAGGTCAATTAAGTCATGCCAATTAAGGTACTTTTGTTCATTTTAGAAGCAATATATAATGTAACTGTACAATAAAATCTTGGTATAACAGACACTGTAGATAATGGAACCCAGTTATAACGGACACCCTAAACCTATCAGACAAACCCTCAAGATAACAGATGTCCATTATCCCCGAGGAGCTGTCCTGTAGATCATCACTGCATGAATATTAACTGGAGAAATTGTAATACTGTACTGTAAGTAATAAAGAAAATTAGACAAGCTGAAAATCATTTAAAAACTTGAGCAATCAACAACTATTGTCACACGTTACACATTTTTCTTATTATCACCACTCTTGTTACATACTCCTATACTGTATCTTTTAAGATATTTACTGTACTATGTTATTAGGGTTTTCATAGAGGAGGAAGATCAGCTAAAACTAATGGCCCATCACTTTTTTGGTAGATTTTTAGTATATAAACAGAAAATAATTTCAGTTTCAATATTTTGCAACCTTTTGCTAGGTAAATTTTAGCGTGAAATTTATCGAAAATCTAACGTATAGCTGCATTAGTGCATTACAATTAAATAGTGAACTTTGCTTGACTTCATTCTTAACAACCCAACTAACAATATTTTTTTTCTGTTTGTGGATTCTGATGCATTTATAAGTTGATAATATTTATGGCGGCTGCTTGTGTCAGGACGAGGAACCAAAATCCAGCCATCTCAGTCACTATCTTGGGTCTGGGAGAGAGCTCCTGAAGTCGAGTTGCCTACATTGAGAGATGCTTTGAGACGTGTTTTAATCAGGCAAATCAGTGAAAAAGAACTAAAGAACTTACACAAACAAAGACATTGCCAGTGTGATATGACCAAAGCTGTCTTGGCACAGTACACCTCTGGCTAACGCCAGTTCAAGCCTCCAGTCATAACAAGTCAGAAGAAGATTAGTGAGAGACTGCTAGCCAAAGTTGGGGAAAGGCAAGAGATATCTCTTTGGGAGAGGAAAACTGCAGTTATGACAGCTTTGCCAAGCAACTGGACCAGTTATTTGACATACTCATTTGCAAGTGCCCAATTGTTCTCTGGTCCTGAGTTTGGATGCGATCGCGACTGCAAATCCGCGCCCACATCTCCTGTATTTGCAAGCGTGAACTGAAGATTCCCAGATCGAACTGGCATTTGTCAAAGCACAGAGAGAAGACTGTTATATAGGCTCTCATGATTTCTAGCCAAGATATTCGAGTCCAAGAGACAGGAGGCTGCCACAGAGAGACAGAAGAGGAGAAGAGCTGCCGAGAAAAAGAGACTTCTGAGAAGGCCCAGGGTGAGGTAAAAAGGGCCAATGATTGGAGCCAAGCTGATTCAGAGTTTAATGATTTCCCCATGGCTGATCCGGAAAAGGACTAGGAGAATGGGTGATCTTTGTCCCAACCCAGAAAAAATAATGATCCCAAACCTTCCAGGCATAAGATTCGAAATAGGAAAGATATCCCTTTACATAGCTCTGGCCAGCATGCCACACCACACCGGTCTCAGAGAAACTGCAGAGATAGCAACAGCTGCCTGGATTGATCGTGGTCGATAACACCGATGATGTTCAATTGGTGATAGATCATAACAAAAGAAGAGAGCCAGAGAAACTTGTCAGTACCTAGAAGAGGAGTTTGATAAGGGATAAGAGAAATGGGAATCAATTGTTTGTCTCTTTGATGGTGAAGGATGACACTAAAGTGTTCATGAAAGTTGAGATTCTGGGACAAGTTGTTCTGCCATGGTGAAGGAAGAACACTACTCCTGCTGCAGTGGAACCAGGAGGGAAGTATTTGTGGCATTTCACTCCAGAGAAAGATGACATCAGGAAACCAGCTGAGATAGTGGCAGATAACATTGTGAACTGCTCAGAGAGAGGAACGTGACCAGACCCTGCAGGCCATTGAGGACAGCACCAACACGAACACACAGGTGGCAAGGGGGGGGTCATACAGTGGATAGAGCTGAAGATTGGGAGGAAGCTGGTCTGATGGTTTGTGACCCTCCACACCAACGGTAGCTGCCATCAGGACATCTGATCCAGGAGCTGGATGGCAAGACTTTTCTCAAAACAACAGATGGTCTGGGTCCTCTCTTGGCAAGATGCTGGACTCTGCCACTGAGTTAGAAATAAATCCGAGCTTTGAAAAATCACAGTTGGCCCTCCACTCATTGAGCTTGCACATACTGTCATTGGACGACCTGGAGTACTGACCAGTACTGATTACATGATTTGCAGTGCCATCAAACTGGGGTCATGCCTGATAGACTTGCTTACCTGCAGATAGGTCCAGTCTCACATTCTAGGTGGCTCACAACGGCTCTCTCAGGTTCTTGCAGAATTTGGGTCGCCCATCATAAACTGAAAGGAACCAGCTTCACAACCTGGAGAGACTTATTGTCCAATTCATCGTGAGTGTTCACTTGCCAAATTGGTTCACCACCAAGGTCAATTCATCGCTCTGAAGGTCCGAGGCATGTTCTCTTCCAGCTTGGAGCTTGGAGGAGTCAGCCAAGGAAGGTTGTTCAGATTGTGGAGCAGACTGTGAGGAGATCTTCCTGGTATGCCCATCCCGGGAGGCAGTTCTGCAGACAATGCCTGCAGTAAGGATGAGGGAGGAGAGAAGAGTGGCAGTCAAAGATCCTGGATATGAGACTATGAGAGGATCTAAGATGATGATTCCTTCAGGCCAGGAAGACTCTGAAGTCAATCTAGGTGCCAAGACCCCATAGATCTGGATAATGAATCCAGGGGGCTGGCAGTGAGCTCCCTCTACCTGCAGCCTCACCACTGTTCAAGCCAGCTTTCTGGACAACCCCATGCATGTCCCTGCTCAGCCCTCGCACACCCAGAGAGCAGAGCGTTGTGTACAGCAAGTGAGCGAGGCCAGCAGTCACGGTACAGCCAGGAGAGGAGGGAAGGCTACATCCGAGCTCAGGTGGTCAGCAGGGAGGTGATGAGTAGAAACAGAAGCAAGAAAGACATGTTCTCTATGGCAGCAGCAACGGGTCGAGTAGTAAAACCGGTTTTTGTATTTGATGATTTTGTTTTCTAAAGGAATATTAAATTTAATAAATGTGTCAAGATCATTCGCTTCAATTATTCTGGATCATTTTCATCCTAATAAATTAATTTGATACATTTACTTTACTTTAAATAAGCTATTTAGTGGTGTTGGTAAAAAGGGTGAATACTGAATTTTCATAAGATTTCAAGTTAAAATTTACCTAGCAAAAATGAAAACTTTCAAATCTGAAGATATCACATGATTCTTCCACATAAAGAACTACATCATTAATACCATGGGCCGATTTTTTTCAAACTCAAAAAAAAAAAATTCGCTCTGTATGACACATCTCTACTTGTTATGGTTATTTTGTAACTCATAATTTTGTGTAGATACAGTACAGATATATGTAATTTTTTTTTTTTTATTTGCACACACAATCCTACATGCAGAATGCACAAAAATTATAAGGTATAAAGTTTTAAGTATCAGAGGGTTTACACTGTGAAGCTGTGTGTGACTTGTGGAGGTCAGAGGGTCCACATGTAGATCACTGTTGCTAGGTATGTTCGAGGTGAGTGCCGAGGTTATCTCTCTGAATTGCAACACAGTGTGTCCACTGACTTATATTATTTTTGCTCTTTTTAAACTTTCACTATTATTATTTGTTTCCTTCATTATTGCTCTTTATATGCCAACAATTTTATGTTTTAATATTACAGTGTACAGTTAAAGCTATATTTTACATACAGTAGGAATGTCTTTACCTTATCATAAATTAAAAGAATGTATAATATTGCAAGATATTAGAGGTAGCTACAGCACAGAACTAATACATTGGGTGTTTTATAGAATGACATCTTTAAGTATGGACACCCATAGAGGAAGCAGTGTGGCAAGCATTACAAGTATGGGTCCCCAGTGGATGGGCAAATCCTTAACAAGTGACCAGGCTCATGTTAATGGTGACAGATGGATGTGGACTCTGGGGTGAAAACAGAGCAAAATACATCATAGACCAAGCAGAGGTAATAACCAGGAGAATTGGGTTTATTTTTGTAATTTTAAATACAGTACAGTACAGTTTTTGTTTTCACTACATTAATTACCATTTATGTAACACAGTGTCCTCTTATGCCATTTGCAAAAAAATTTGGATAGTACTGTATACTGTATTTAGTTATCGTAAAGATATTTCTATCATGGTTCCACAAAATATTATTTTCATAGGGTTATAAAAATCCTTTAGTCTCTGACTTTGATTTTGACAAAGTGATTTTAAAGGAGATGAATCTTTCAGTAAAATCCTTTGTTTATTTGCCAAGTATTATGGAAACTTTTATATGTAATTATATAGAAGAGCCCTTAAAAGTTTTACTGTAATTTAATTTTATTAATTTAGTTATTTTATATAAAGTAATATCTCCGTTAGCCAGAACCCTCAAACCTGGAACTTTCACGATAGCTGGAATTTAAATTTTCTCGAAAAGTGTTCCCAAAGCTGGAATTTTCGGAAAATTACAGCTTTGGGATTTCGAGGCATTTTCCTGGAAATCCAGAAAATTTCCTGATACCTGAAAAATTCCTGGGATGGGGGAGTTTTTCAGGGATTGAGAGATGAAAATCAGATACATTTTCTGAAAATTCCAAGGTTCAAGAGATGATGTAATGGGCAATTTCTGGAACTTCTGAGAACATTTTCCGTTACCCAGAAAATTCTGGGGATGAGGGATAATTTTCTAGGTTGGAGAGATGATGCAATGGACAATTTCTGGAACTCAGAACTTTTCTGTTACCGGAAATCTCTCATTCCTGGAATGCTCTGCACCAATTGTTCCAGCTAGCAGAGATACCACTACATCCTGCTCAGTGATATCCCTTAAACATGAATAATTGATAAAGAGATTTCTGGGTAATGAGACAACTCTCAAACCCGATATCCTACAACCTCGAATTTTCCGGGTACTCTGTACAATGGAAAAGTTTCTCAGAATTTTCAGAATGGCTTTATTTCATCCTCAGTTTGCTCCCAGACCTGGAAAAAAATTGGGTGTTTCCAGAATTCTTTGAATTTTCCAGAATTACTGTATGCATTATTTGAGGCGCAATTGATAGTGACAAATCAACCAATGTCGCCCAAATCAGATTCTTGTTTCTACAGGAAGCCGACTCTTTCTCTACCCTAGGGTTTATTCAGTCATCTTCGTCATTGGTTTGGGCTAAATTTCCAATGATAATGACAAATCCACATAATGCAGTCCAATCGGCAGATGGGCGACGTGATCAGCGATATGGGTTTCAGCAGCCAATCAGGTGGTCACTCAGCGGGGTGTCTGTTTCTGTCTCAGTTCCGCATTTATTACTTTCATTATATCCTCATCTGAGAGTGATAGTGCAGGAGAGGGTCCTAGGCACCCGTGTGGGGGGACGAAAGTACTAAGTGGAAATTAGAGGTGACAAAGCAGAAAAAGAACGCTGGCACGAGTACAGTGTGAGAACGAAAAAGTTGTGGGGAAAGTGTTATTGGCCCTGCATGCAAGGATGGCTGTGGCCAAGCTGGTGAAATAAATGAAGTTTTTATGATTTCTGGACTTTTGGTAACTTTGATAAACAGAACATTTACATAAGTAAACTCTAAACCTCTGGGCATGTTGGCGTTTCGTACTGTGTGCTGACTGTGTCTCACGTAAGTTATGTACTATTACATACAGTGTGATATACGAGAATGAGACAATAACAGTGTGTAGGAATGCCTAATACTCTGTTCACGGGTTACTGAACAGCGTGTGAGGACTGTGCTGAGGAAGGTGTGTGTGTGGCTGGGACTGTGGAGGAGGACATGAGGGGCAAGACAGCTGCATCACAGCGTGCTCAGTATTAGTTTAGACAGAAGACAGCTGGTGATTGAACACATTAATAGTTATGCAGCAGTTAGCAGTCATTACAGCCGTGCTAAAACTCCAGGTTGAAATACTTATCATCGGAGTTGAACGTCACGCTATGTGCAGGATGTATCAGGAGTTGGCTGAAGGAACAAGATCCTAATCATAAAGCCACCACCATTATCAGGATGAGTTCAATCAAGAGTTCAACCTTTGTTTTCTCTTCTATGGCTGACACCTACAACACCTGTGATAGGAGCTGCCATAGTTTTGCTGCCACAGACAAGATGAAGAATGTGCAGGAATTCGACTGCCTCAGCACTGAACAACCCTGCACAGAAAGCGAGCAAAAGTTCCCGTGGCTACCTGAAGGCGTATGCTGATGATGGTGAGCTGTGTGTCATCTTGGCGACCTGCAGCAGACACTCCCCTCCCCCATCAACTCTGGTGTTCAGTATTATAAGCAAAGCTGTGGATATATAACTTTGGGATCCAAACGCCAAAACTGGGAAGCTTCAATGTATCTGTGGAGTGAAACCACAGCAAGGGGCTTCTATGTCAGCTGTGTCATGCACTACATCAGGACACAAGTAACCACTTCAGTCATGAAACTCGTTACTTTCAGTGATAACTGTGGCAGGCAAAATAAAACCTACACTGTTTCAGCCTGCCTTCGTTACATTCATGAGGGCCCACTGACATTAAGCACATTTTCATGGTCCCTAACCACTCCTGTCTCTGTGATGGTGACTTTGGCCACATAGAAGACCCTCAGGAAGATGGAGGCCTATACTCTAGAATGCTATGCTGCAGCAATCAGGGTGTAGCCACAAAACCTTTTCTCAGTTGTGAAAATGAAGAGGGAGGACTTCCTGGATGTCTCTGTTTTAGTTTCACAGTTTGCCAAATGCCATGAACAAGGGGTCCTTTTCAGTGATGCCAAGGCCTTCACCTACTCCAACAACTACAAGGAGGGGTATAGCATCAAGACAGCATACAACCTCACATACCCCTAATTTGTCAGGCTGTAGAAAGGGCACGGCAGGAAGTACCTCCCAACCTTCAATTTGGCTTCCGTGACTCTACAACCGAAATGACAAACCTGTAGCACTGACCACCAAGAAACTGGCGACATCGAGCACCTGATGAAGTGTATTCCTGAGAGGAAAGGGGTTACTTAGGACGTCATTGCAGGGCAGAGGATCCAGTGGCATACACAGATGAGGTCGACCCTGGTGACGGCAGGCAGCAGTACTAACCTCACCCCTATCACCCTACCTTCCATCACTACACACAGTATCAGGATTGGTGAGTAACGTTTTTATTTTTCACACCTGAATCTCCAACCCTGGACCTTGACAGCCAAAATATTGCCATTCAGGCATTTCCACAGCACATACTTCACTTTGAAATAGATTTTCATATACTTATCTAAATTTTTCGCATATTTCTTATGTCAGGTTAAACGACATTAAATTTCCTCGTATGGTTGGTTACGAGTAACAAAAATTGAATGTTGGTAAACTTTACCCTCAATTTACTCAAAACATGATTTTGGTTGATTAATCACTATCAATCGGATGCCTCATTTCATCCTTGGAATTTACTTCAGACCTGGAAAAAATTGAAGGTTTTCCGGATTTTCTGGAATTTTCCAGAATGGTGCATTTTCAGTATTTATCCAGGTGATTTTCCAGTAGTTTTCTCGGAATTTTCTCAGAAAATTAGCTAGATTTCCAACCTCAAAGCTCGTTCACAGACCCAAAATTGAGAGACTTTTTTTTTAAATTTTGAGCCAATTTCAATTCTGGGCCTTGGAGTTCTGGCTAACAGAGATACAGGTATTACTTATCAGTTTCTAAATTCAACTAATATAAGATATACTGTACAGTACTCTTGTATTTGTCAGTGTGGGCTCCATGCATAGAGGCTGGCATCAGGGAGATATCAAGCCTAGTGTTAACAGAGTTGACAAAGCTGAATGTCAGAGCAGCATGGGATGGAGATAGGCAGTCTGTTGTCTTCAGTATTTCTTCTCAACTAAATGACTTATCATATAGATGGGAGTTTGAACTGAGCGTCTTACAGATAAACTGGTTAGTTGTGATTTATTTTCATTTTCATATTTGCCGGTATTTCATTTTATTTGAATAAAGATTGTACTACCCATCAAATTTCTGTGCTAAGGTTTAATAATTAAACATTCGATAAAAGAAAATTTTACTTTACTTCGTCATTTTTCTTTTAATCCTTATTAGTTGGTCAAATTCGATAGGCTGAGTTAGTTGGTCAAATTCGATAGGCTGAGTTAGTTGGTCAATTCGATAGGCTGAGTGCTGAGTTGGTAAAAAATTACCCCCCCTCCCCCTCCCAAACACAATCTCTTCAGTCCATCCTGTGTGTAGATATGATATAATATAATATATTATATGAGGTGTTAGAGTAGCAAGGGCAAGCTGACAAAAACGATGTTTTGAGAAAACTTATTTGATTTTTTCCTATTTTGGTCCATAACTCATAATTTTTTTTATCAAATTTCTTCATTTTGTCTTATTTTTGTAGGTTTGGGGTAATACATCATGAATGTCTGAAAAAGTATCCGGTATAACATTCCATAATATGCCTGATTTCTGATGGTAAAAACTATCATACAGTAGTAATACAAAGTGCCGGCCCTTCACATACGCTGGTTTAGCATTCACGGATTCAAGAACACGCAGATTGCCCCGCCAGAGGAATATTCTACATTGAAGTACTGAAGTACATTCAAATCGCTACCATTCAACTCATGAGCTGCACAGAACACGGGGACACCGCCCGCCTCCCGCAACCTCACACACACACGCATAGCTCTCCCTCACTCAGTCAGTCTCGGGCTAAACCACACCCTTGTGTTGACATCACATTGTAGTTGCAAAATATTACATTCGTGAATGTATTAGTATCGCTATACAGTATAAATAAAATATCACTAATATAACAGTATTTTAACCGAAAACTATTAAAAAAACGAGTAACATATCTTGAACATTGGAAGGTTAGGTAAAGTCTTTTGTTTTCATGTAGTTTATCCTAATTTACATTGAAATACATTGTTTCAGCAAAACTACTATTTATTTCTGAGAATATGGAAATGTAATATTTTTGCAGAAATGACGTACGTATTACAGTGGAAAGTGACGAAAGCAATGACTTGTTTTCTTTCGCTCAAAAGATGTTACCGTAATCGCTTTTCGAATGGTTTTCAGTTAAAAAACTGTTATATTACAATAATATTCTATCCTAATTCACTTGTGATGCAACAGTTTTTTAACTGAAAACCATTCGAAAAGCGATTACGGTAACATCTTTTGAACGAAAGAAAGCGAAAGTCATTGTTTTAGTCACGATTTTGTCCCACATTCCACTGTAATACTTACATCATTTCAGCAAAAATATTTCATTTCTGTTAATGTAGTATATCAAGCACAGTATGAATATAATATCATTGTAATATAACAGTATTTTAACCGAAAACTATTAAAAAAACGAGTAACATCTCTTGAACATTGGAAGGTTAGGTGAAGTCTTTTGTTTTCGTCATGTATTTTGTCCTATTTTACATTGAAATACATCACGTTTCAGCAAAATTCCTATTTATTTCCAAGAATATATTCATTCAGGCGCAGTTTAGGTAAAATATACGTGTGATGTAACATTTTTTAAATTGAAAACGATTCGAAAAACACGTACCCTCTAGCCCTGTTCAAGGAGAGGACTGGGAGAAGCTGTTTGGTGCTGCCGATGGCAAGGAAAATTATTTGGATGGATTTTAATGAAAATATTCAGAAATATGGTATCGTAGTATTTATTCAAGTCAATTAGGATAGAATATTATTGTAATACAACAGTAGTGACGATGTGGAGGAGGCGGAGGGGTAGAGCGGGGAGGAGGTGACTGGCGGGAGCAGGGACGAGTGGAGATGCCAGCCAGTACATTACGGGTGTATTAATTGTTTTTATAGCTATTTTTGCATTTTAATGTTAAATACTGTACATTACGTTTCAACAAAACTACCATTTATTTCTGAGAACATGGAAATGTAATATTTTTGCTGAAATGATGTACGTATTACAGTGGAAAGTGACGAAAGCAATGACTTTCGCTTTCTTTCGTTCAAAAGATGTTACCGTAGTCGCTTTTTGAATGGTTTTCAGTTGTGGGATTATAAGGCTAATGATAGGATAGAATATTATTGTAATACAGTACGAGTACAACAGTTTTTTAACTGAAAACCATTCGAAAAGCGATTACGGTAAAATATTTTGAACAACGAAAGAAAGCGAAAGTCTTTCGTCATGATTTTATCCCACTTCCCACTATAATATGTACGTCATTCCAGCAAAAATATTACATTTCCATATTTATTTCCGAGAATATATTCATTCAGTCACAGTTAAGGTAAAATATACTTGTGATGTAATATTTTAATGAAAATCCAGTATCGTAGTTTTCTCTTGTTTCAAATTTAATTAACAAAGGTTGATGTTTCAAATGTAATGAACAAAAATTTATGTCCAGTATCTATAAATTAACTTTAATAAATGAATACTTTGTTTTACATCGTCCTGTGCTACCATACCATGGATTTGGCTACTTTGGGCTCGCAAGAGATCTGCCCTGGCAACTGTACCGACACTCACAGCTGGTGGTGTGTTGGCGCATCGTTTCCATTGTTTACTGGTAGTTACTGGTAAATATTTTTCAACCTAACGAAACTATTACCCGTTTAGAGGTCGACCCCCAATTTTTGCCAAATAATTTGGTCTTAAAAACTCGAACTACACACAGGTATATACGGTAAATAAGGACATGGGGGACCAAGGATATTTTAGGGGGGGGGGGGCAGCAATAGTACACGGATTTTTAACATTCACGGGTATCTCTGTTACCTAACCCCTGCAAATGTTAAGGGCCGACTGTACTGTAATTACATGTTTTATCAGATGGATATACAATTTGTGGAACTTTAATCAAGATGACACCAAAAACACAGTCAGAATAGGTAATAATGAAAACAGTCATACTCACCATAACCAGTCATGATCTGCTTGCCTGAAGTGTGGGGCAGATATAAATCCAGCATGTCGTCATCTGGTGAAGCCTCATTGTTGACGACTGCTGCAGCATCCTGTGCTTCCTGTTCAGTCACCAGGTGCACATTGAACTGCTGGTATTCGGTTAGTATGTGCGTCATCAGATCCTTAATGTCTTTCAACTTAATTTGACGGGGAAAGGGGCAAGAAAGAGAGCACGGTTTGAGCTACCAGGAACCATAGAAAACAGATTTTCCAAAATTTGGTCATCTCACCCTTGCTATTCTCAACACCTCATATAATATAATATACAGGTATAATATATAATATAATATAATATGTACTATTTACGGTTTGGTGATATTTATAGTTTGGTCATCACTGGGTCACACCTATGTTAGTCCAAGTTCAACATCTAAGCATGAGAGTGAAACAACTCGCCACGGAGGTGGAACAGAAACAACGACAGTTGGACGAACTTCTTCCTGATGTCAAGTCAAATACGAAGTCACCTGTCAGTGAGTATTGAAGGAAAAAATTATGAAAGAGAGGACTTGTAACTTGTAGGTAATAGCAGTAATAATGAATGCGGATATCTTTTTCCATTTTACAGACATTCATTTATATAAAGGTGTTTTTGGATCCCACTGCTGCTGTACATTTTATAAGAGTGGTGTTTATTTAATTATTTAATCTATTTTATTTATCTCTTCTTTCTTTTTACTTTTGTTTTATTTTCTACTTCATTTTCTCAAAGTATTTATTTACTTTAGTTTCTTACTTAGTTTATTTATTCATTCTGCTGCCCATTTCTTAGTTATGTGACTTTTTAGATTCTTATACATACTATAACCTATACAGGGTAATCTCTTAAACATATAGTAGCATGGCGAGGTCTGGGCAAGTGGATTCAATTTAATTTAATTTTACTAAGATAGGGGAAGAAACAAAGATAATACTGCAGGGATAATGATATCCCAGCATACAATAAAGATGATTTATTAAAAACGAAGTTGAGTACCTGAACACTTTAACAGAACATAAACACATGACCCACTTCTTGGGGTTCACTCAAGACTTGGCCATATTTATGCTAACACTAATACAAATCACAAAGACCACTTTGCCTTACTTCAGTGTCAGCAAAACAAGTATTCAACTTTAGCAAGGCCAATGTTCAGTAGAAATTACTATAGGTTACTGGTAACATTCTATGACAGTGACACACAACAAAGATTAGTCATCAGCCCTTCAATCACATTACTACTTCTACTAATACTTCATAGCACCTCTCAAAACCCGTCACAAGATTGTTATTCATGTACAGTACGTGTTATTATTCTCAATACTGAACTGGGGATTCAGGTTACATTGGCACACACAGTTTTCATGACTCCATGAGTAAGTGATGCAACCTATTACCACTCCTTACACCACAGGATACATTGGTATTCATTTACTAGGTGGGAATAAGATACCTGAGACAGAACAATTATGGATGCATACAGGATGATACCACAGGCTTGCGCCCCTTGTATTCAAAACAAAGGCTGGGCATTTACACTCTGTGACGCATGGCTAGGCTCCGCTGTGTTCGGGGTTCGACCCATGTCTCGCGGACACAGCCACACCCGTAGGCCTATTACTCTCTTCTGACGCCATCCACTCTAGATCTTGATGCCGGTGAATTAAAGACATTCTGTGTCAGACATCCTATCTGGCACTGGCCACCATCTCTCGGTAGCTCCAACAACACAGTTCCTGGTTGATGAAGGAAAGGCCTTTGGAATGATATGAAATTAAAATGCAAATGTCATATAATATGTCGTGCAAGGAAACAGATGGTGCATGAACATAATTTCTTAACCCTTAAGACTTTAATTACATTAACAGGCACACTGACATATTCAGCACAATAATATTCAACTAAATTAAATTCACTTAGTATCATGGTGTGACACGGAGTAATGTACCTGGTTGACGAGAGAAAGGCATTCAGTCATGACTATTCAAACTGCACGCTCTGTTTTATACCCCCGGTGTTACCACCCTCAATACATTTACATGCATTTTCATTGGTCTTAGTTACGGTAAACCTCGGGCTGTGAAAATTAGGCCATGAGCCTATATTAATTTCCTATGGTAATCACACTCCTTGGTGAGCTGGCCAACCACAACCTAGACCTATTCACAAGTATAGTGTTACAATTCAGAGTTTTTCTACAGCTGACAGGTTCTGCTCATGAGATTAATGAGTTTCTTTAATACAAAAATTACAATACAGTTGTACCCCACTTAACGCGGTCAATTAAACCCAGAGGGTCCCGCGTTAAGTGAACAACAGAACATATGGGATTAATTCCAATAGAAACCGGCCCGACCCCCAAACTCCACTTTTTGAAGGCACATACCTATGTTGTAGTAAAAATAACATCTTAATTTTATGATGGTACATGCACACAATTAATACTTAAGAGAAATAGAGAAATACAGTCGCCAAGTTAATGTCCATTCAAATAATGGACTCAACTCCCTCCCCCTCTCACACTACACTGCCGGCTCTTCCCTCTCAGAGAAATTTTTGGGGGAAAACCACTAAATTTTAATAAATAATACCTCAAACTAAAGTTAGGATAATACAATTGACATTGCTGGATTCCTTGTAAGACCAGGAATATTTTGAATATAAATGTCATATATTTTGCACAAAAGATAACATAGTTACCTCGAGAAAATTTTTTATCTAAAATTTGTATGTTTAATGCAAAATATATGATGTTTATATTCAAAATGATCACCAAATTATAAGAATTCCAGCAATGTAAATTATATTCTGACCGGGTAATTTGTATGAATTTTATGAGCTAAAACAAATATCTTCAGTTAATAAAAAAAAAAATAATCTTCATGACACTATCTGTCAATCAAAGTACCCCACCTTGCCTCCCCCCCTCTTCCAACCGCGCGGTCAGTCCCAACCCTCCCCCCCACCCCCCACCAATCCTCCCTTCCAGAGTTTTTAACATTTAGTATTAAATAATACCTCAGATTAAAGTTAGGATAATATAATTGACATTGCTGGATTCCTTGTAAGACCAGGAATATTTTGAATATAAATGTCATATATTTTGCACAAAAGATAACATAGTTAATTTGAGAAAAAATTTTATCTAAAATTTGTATGTCTAATGCAAAATATATGATGTTTATATTCAAAATGATCATCAAATTATAAGAATTCCAGCAATGTAAATTATATTCAGACCGGGTAATTTGTATGAATTTTATGAGCTAAAACAAATATCTTTAGTTAATAAAAAAAATAAAAATATTTTCACAGGGTAACAGATGGTCGGTCGGTCCCTCCCTCCCCCCACCCCCCACCAACCGTCCCACCAGATGTGTGGGAACACCAGAATATTTAACTTTTTTGTAATAAATAATACCTCAAACTAAAGTTAGGATAATATAATTGACATTGCTGGATTCCTTGTAAGACCAGGAATATTTTGAATATAAATGTCATATATTTTGCACAAAAGATAACATAGTTACTCTGAGAAAAATTTTTATCTAAAATTTGTATCTCTAATGCAAAATATATGATGTTTATATTCAAAATGATCACCAAATTATAAGAATTCCAGCAATGTAAATTATATTCTGGTCGGGTAATTTGTATGAATTTTATGGGCTAAAACAGGCAGTCAGGCAGGGTGGTGGGTGGGGAAAATCTAAAAATAGCGTCTCGAGCCGGACACTCACCGCGTATATGTGGAAAAAATCCGTGTTAAGTGAAAGTTCAGCTCTGGCGAGGCACCGCGTATATGATAAAACGCGTTAAGTGAAACCGCGTTAGGCGGGGTAATACTGTACATGTAATTTCAATACACTCATTGGATTCCCTGGGGTCTGTCAATCACAGAGATATAACTTCACGAGAGGGTAAACATTGTTATCAATCTTGGTTTGGCAGTCAAAACACATTGTCTTAATACAATTTACACTACATCACACTTAAAGATCGATGAAGTGTTTAACATATATTCAATACTGCTTGAATGTTTCAGCTCCTGGTTGGCATATCTGACTTAAGTTACTCATACAGGTTACATCATAAATTTAAATTTACATTACAGAGGACTTCCGGCAATACAGAAAATGGACGATACTTCTCACTAGAGAAAACAAGTCACTCGAGGGGACAACTCTTTAGTTTCACACATGTTTGTGGACGTCTGAGCAAAATGTGAATAAGTGTGGAGATTAATATACTAGCCGTGCAATGGGCGAGTTGACGGTCAGAATTTTTTCATAAGATGGCAGGTCAATGGGTAAAGAAAATGCTTAAATTCACTATAGTAATGGTATTTTAAAATAAATTGGGCCAAAAAGTCAAAAATAAGGGTTAAAGTAGCTAAAAAGTCACGTGACTGCGAAAAGCTCTGTGATTAGTTGTGACGTCACTGGTTGGGGTGAACTTACTAGCAGGAGGCAGCCAGCTGTAGTTGTCCAACCTTCTCGGCTGATCGACTCAATAAATAAATATTACAATATTAGATAATTAATTGTGCTTTATTGTGCAACACATTAATACTATTTTGAATATATAAATTTTTCTAAGCACATTAACTAATTCAATGGATATTAGCTGCCCATACAAAAAATTTCATAGTACAGTGGTCCCTCGGTTAACGAACGCCTCGGTTAACGAAATTTCGGTTAACAAACTGCCTCCCATAAGATTCTTAAATTCGGTTAACGAATTTCTTACGAACCGACCTCAACATGTTTTCGCTTGCACTGGCCGGTCAACCAGCTTTAGTATTAGTCCGCCAATACATTAATCGGTTCTAGGGCTTAAATTCCTTACTATTTTAGTCAATATCAAGAAGTTTATACTATTCAATAATTTTAAAAGTTTAATATTCAATTTTTTAGTCATTTCAACAATTATTGAACATAATTGAAGGTAAAGTGACTAGTTTAATGCGCGGCATCCAGCCTCTTAACACAGCAAACAGGCGTTAGTCTCTCTGTTTTCACTGGAGGTAACATCTTGCTTGAGACTCTCTTCAACTAAACGCTTTTTTCTGTGTTTCCAAGCAAATTATTGGTCATTTTGAAATATATTTTTCATATTGACAATATATAATGCAGTGCAGTGTTGATTTAAAGAAAATAATCTTCAAATACACCAAGAGAACTAAAATTTTATGGGTGAAATGGTGCCATGGGGTGACTTCTCTTCCACCCCAATGCCTTTGCTTTGACTGGTAGGAACATAGTATGTGCTCTATGCCGAGTTCTGATTGGCTGGGAGTGTATTGCACACACTCTGATTTCTGATTACCATACCAATAATTAACTGAATGTTACTCAGTTAAAAGTAAAAGTACCAAGAAAATTGACTTTCAAGTAGCTTAGTTTTTAAAATAGTTGTTTCATCTCAGTAACAAACCAGTTTGACATCATTACTATCCACCTCTGCAGATCAAATAGCAAACTTACATATGCCATGTATGGTGACTTATGTGTGAAGTCCATAAAGGTTCATTGATTTCCTCTTGTGAAATTCTTGAATACAGTATAATATATAGTTTACCTTATCTTGTTACAGAAAACTCCAAGACCACTAGGAATAAAGACAACTTAATTGAATCTGCAATTGAGTCAGTTGTAGTTAATGGAGCTTGGACAGTCATGCAAGATCATCTGATTCATTATCCACTCATTATGAAGCATCTTACTAGAGAGCAGTAAGTCACCTTTCTATTCTTGTACTGTAAACCCTTGCTATTCGCAGGTTTGCAATTAGTGATTTCTACTATTTGCGGTAAGCAGGTGGTGGCTAGCTTATGAGCCTCTACTGCAGTGCAACAAGTCACCCCCATGCGCCAGCAGCGTCTCCTCTCCCTTTGTTTGTCCTCAACCATTGCCTGCGATGCAGCATCTCTTGTGTTGTACTCAAAACTTCAGTGTTTCTGTGTAAAATGGCCCCTAAAAGACTGTCTAATGTCAGTGCTAGTGATGCTAATGGAGTGAAACGTTTTGAGACCTCAAAGCCAAGAGGAAACGACTACCAATCGCATCGTTTTTCAAGAAAGAACCAGCCGCTTGCCCAGCTGATTCGCCTACTCAGTCAGCTGCTGCCACTGTTCTACCACCCGCCTCCCTGCCATGCGCCTCTCCACCACCCGCCTCTCCACCAACCTCCACTGCATCACCCTCTTCCAACAGTGATTCTGATGATCCCCCTATGTTTCAGTAGCCAGATTTCATCCTAGTGTACAGTACATTTCATCAAGCTCCAATCTTCCACATACGAAGGAGAGTAGTATTGGTGACCTAAGTTTCTCATACACAGTATAGGTACGGTATACAGCAGTGAACTAAGGTGCCATTCCTTGGAACCCAACCCTCATGAATAGCAAGGGTTTACCGTATTATGCAACTTCCAGATTAAGAGGTATTACTTGAGTATTTAATTACGTCTTGGCACATTAATCAGGTTATAGAGCCTTTTACTTGAGTCAACTTATACTGATCTCACAAAGTGAATCTTTAACTCATCAGTGTCATTTTTCACTATGGTTGCAGGATATGAAGTCATGTCATCTTGGCCAACAACAATATTGCAGTACACTATTGTTGACTAATGAAGCTCTTACAAATGACAAATTGTGTACCTCAGCATTTCATCTCATCTTTGTCAGTTTTTGTAGAAAATTTATAGGTTTTGAAGCTTCTCAGTTAGTTATGTTAGTTTCCCTATTACAGTACAGGGGGTCCCTAGGTTATGAACAAGCTCCATTCCTGAGGACATTCTTAAGTCGAAAATGTACGAAAGTCAAAACCATACTATGTGCTTACCGTGCTTACAGAACAATGTTTAAAATCCCACTATATCATAGCTTAAGTCCTTGTATACATAAAAAATTATTTAATTTAACAGAGAAAAAGAAATAGAATGACAAAATACAGTAACTGAAAGTAAAAAGTAAGTCATCAGGTAAATAAAATACTGTAAATTTAAAGTTTAACCTCGTTCGTATCGGTGGGCGATCGTAAGTTGGATGTTTGTAAGTCGGGGATCCCTTGTACCTGTATGTTATGTTGACCAACACTGGAGTAGGTTCATGTACATTCAGGAGCCAGTGCATGCCCAGTACTTGCCAACAGTGTGTAACAGAGACGTGACCGATCATCCAAGCGGCTAACGAGCCGATCAGTGGTGAAGAGGATAGAAGTAAAAGTAAAAGAAATTATTTTTTTTATTAAGTACTGTAATGTACAGCTCCTCCCCGACTTACGACGGGGTTAGGAACCCAAATCCAGGTCGTAAGTCGAAAATGCTTAAATAATACAGTACATAGAAAATCTAAAATGGGTGTCTCTTTTTCTTCTCAGCACCACAAAACTCTCACTTTTAAGCTTGCCAGCCATTTTAAAGTGAATTACAAACGAAAATTTTGTCTGTGTACTGACATTGGGACTCGAAAATACGTAATTTGACAAAATTTTGGTACGACTGAGGCAGGTCGTAAGTGCGGGTGGTCGTAAGTCGAGTAGGTCATAAGTCGGGGAGGAGCTGTAAATGGTTTGTGATAGGTTTTTGTCATTGCTGCCACTACTTCAAGATTCACCTCACACCACATATTATATACAGTGTTGCCACTTGTAACGGTATTCATATGCATGTTACAGTACCACACTAGTTACCAATCACAGAACAAAGTTCTTTGGGCTGGAGTGGATCCAAGTTTATGCCACAGCATTTTGAGTCCAAAAAATTTTGAGCTGGAACAAGTATTGTATCAGCTTTTAACATGGGATCCTATAGGAAAATGGGTCTTTTTCAGAAATGCATAGAGCTCGTTGAGAAGGACCTGCTTGTATTATTGATAAAAGTCGAATTTAAAATAGTACTGTATTGCTTTTGTAATATGGTCTCAATTTTTCAGGAATTCAGTCTCTGGAAAAGATGCAGATTCCTCAAAACCAAACAATGAGAAGAATTTACCAATAACTTCCAGTAAGGGCAGTCAAAATAACAAAAGATTAATGGAGGTAAGTTGTCCTTAAAAGACATTGAATGATTATTTAAATTAGATGTGAAAGTATTTTAGTGGGAATACATTGTTTGCTTAAGTATTTTCTCCCTTCATTGTTGCTCATCACCATGGGTATTTGAACTGTTCATCTACCAAAATCAAATAAAAATCACTTGCATGTTACCTTCAAATGTTTGCTAAATTTCCTCTTGATCTCTGTATCACTACTTCAATTTTATGTTTGAGTTACATACAGGTATATTTCTATTCAAATATTTGGATATTTATGTACTTGAGAATATTACCCTCATAGGCACATTGCAAAATCTGCCAAATTTTGTCAACATGCATAAATACAAAGTTGGGGTTTTGTTCCAGTAGGTTTCTTTGATAACAAATTTAAGTGTTCAGTTCTCAGGTTTGTTTCCTCCCTCTGGATTTTTTTTCTGTATGGCAATCCCATTACAGTAGTTTATTTCTTCTGATTTCTTGAAACTCTACACCAACTTGGAGACAGAGAGAAATGTTCGTCAAAATACAAATTTGATTATTATATTGCCTGATGTTTGACTAGGGTGACTTAGTAGTGATATCTCTGTTAACCGGAACAATTGGTGCAGATCACTTCCTGGAATGAGAGATTCCGAGTAACGAGACGACTCTCAAAGCCGGAAAAAATCCCTCATCCCCGGAATTTTCCGGGTAACGAAAAAATGTTCTTGAAAGTTCCATAGATTGCTCATTACATCATCTCTCGAACCCGGTAAAATATTCCCCATCCTGGAATTTTCTGGGTATCGGGAAAATTTTCTCAGAATTTTCCGGAAAAGTTTCCCCTCGGAAATTTCAATTCCGGCTATTGGAGAGTTCCAGGTTTGAGGGATTTTGGCTAACAGAGATATTACTTATATAGCCAAATAAGTACACAGGTTGAAAACCTAAGGTTCCAAGATTCCTGATATTGTTAACTATAACTAATTTGAAAATTTGTGGACCTTCCTTTTGTAGCCTTATCCTGATAAAACCAGGATCTGTGAGTCTAAAATTTATTACTTCAGGCAAATGATTAGGAGTGTTCACCATCACATTAACCTTAGCACTTTATGCCATATTTTGTGGACTCTGCTATAAAGTGCCATTGTACAGACTGATCTCTTCATACAGGCAGTATCTGATTTACAAAGATCACCTTTCCAAAAATCCGAAGTTACAAAAAATACAAATAAAATTCAATGTTGGGATTTACAAAATAAAAATCCAAAAGTTATCATTCTCCCTCCCCCCTGTCTTTTTTTGTAGCATTACAAGATGGCAAGGTACTAATACAGGCATCTCAGGGTTACCCATACCGGAACTGGTCAATTTTTAAAGACCAACGAAAATACAACATGCAGTATTGTACTGTTTTAAGCAAAAAATAGTGTATACAGTACAGTAATACTGTACATGTACATTACAGTAATGATTTATTTATAATGGTTTACAGGATCATTACAGAAACAGTGGGAAGATAATGACTCAGGATATTTCGACAGAGAATGCTGATGTGTCTACGGTAGTATCTTAGAGTGTGAACTGATGTCCGTTGAAATAATAAAAGCTAAAATGCTTAAGTTTAGTCCTTCATCTTCAGGCAAAACCTTATGAAAGATCAGTTCCAGAGCAAATAAAAAAATACACCTCAAACTGTAAGAACATACATTACAGAAGACTCACTCTTCGCATGTCACTACAAAATTAAAATTTTATGGCTTAGGTGGGCCTCGCAGTGTAACACTGCATCACAGCTAATAACACAGTTTTCAGCAACTTCTGTGTTCACCAAAAATTTTAATTAAAAATATCTCTTGTAAAATTTTATTACAGTTAGTGTAAAAAGTTATGTGTAGGAACATATCTCAGTCATATAATGGGAGTACTGTACATGGGAAAGGATGATGTGATTTATGAGAGATTTCCAGGAATGGAATCCTTTTGCAAATCAGGGAATGCCTGAAACAGATCTGGGTGTTTTATGTATGTACCACATTTCAGGAGTTTGTTAATGTTGTTGAATTGGTATGCAGGACCCACACAATTCGGCAGCGTCCCAAACTCCTTGGTACATAGCTCAGCCTGTCGCATATGAGTCTCAGTTTAGATGCAGGTGTCAGGCCTATGGCATCTAAGTGCGATTCAGATTTGAATTTCTGGGATCTTTCATAGTGAATCATGATTGAGGGTACACAGTTCATCACACCTGTATATACACCAAGTCCTTGTTACCCATGAGGATAGGGACAAGAAATGGATGCAGATAGCACAATGTTCCATTACCATACTATACTGTATAATTTACTGTAATGTAAACTTACAGCACAGGTGCTAGTGAGACGTGCTGTTTGACAAACTGCCTACTGCCTCTATACATATATTCACCTCTCTCAAACAGGATACACACCAATGCTCTTACTTTTTCTTATTTTACAGTTTTATATATTCTTTATTGTTAATTTACAATAGAGTATTGGAGTGATTTTTCCACAACCTTTACAGCTTCATAATATGTAACAATGACAATGTGCATACTACGTAGCCATCTCACAGGCCACAGCTGACTGGCAATGTGAGTTATGTTTTAATTTGCACACTGCATTCAGATTGGGTAAAATCAAAGCAAATAATATTGTACAACAAAATTTAAATACAATTTGATAAATAACAAATATGTACATAGAGCACTATACATACCTTTAACAGTCTTGATACTGAAGAGAATAGCTTGCAGTAATGATGAACTACAGTAGAAGTCTATTATGATGATAGTGGCAATGATGTTGAAGTTCTTGATTTTGTTACTGCTCCTTTTCTGTGGCATCACAGAGAACTGGTGGGTCATCTGGATCCTCAGATTATTAGGAGGATAAAGCAGCAATGATGCCGAGCATATGAGGTTGGGTCCGTGCAGAGGAAGGAGGCTGACATCAGGGAGAGGTGGGGGGGTTGAGAGCTAGAAGGCTGGTCTGTGGGAGAAGATGGTGGAGGAGAGTCTTGGGGTTCCAATTTGGTCATGGTTGTCTCACTTTTTCTTGGCATTTGGTTGGGTACCTAGTTATGGGAAGCTGTTGTGCTTTTTCTTTCATTTTTTATAAATCTTTGCGTAAAATGTTACAGCATTTTCTGCTTCTCTTTTGAATTTAATGCTACATTCCATAGAAGGATCATATTTATAGACCAAGTCAGTTAATGCCGTTACAGTCGTTTGGGTGCCTAGAAAAACTGTGCAATGCACCATTTTTCTCAACTTTGTTTTTAAAAAGTTCCCAAGAGGATGTAATGCTGCTCCTAGTCCAACCTCATGAGTACGTGGATTCAGGGATGGCAAACTCACGGATAACAAGGACTTGCTACACTTGCTAAAAGACACCAGGTCCACACCTTAGTGCTACCAAACCATGGGAACTTTAGGTTTATTCATAACCTAGCCTGACCTGGGTGAAGCATGCATTTTGTTAGGTGATTGAGGTTTTTGGTCATTTTTGTGAAATGACTGATTGCACAGGTTGAGTGAAACATATGCAATGCCTAGCTCCCACTCTGTAAAAGTGGGTTGGCAATAGGAAAGGCAACTAGTTTTAAAATTGAGTAATCATAGCTAACCCACACAAGTGTTTAAAATAGCTGTAAAAAGATATTGACAACTCTGCCCTTCATATGCAGACACTCCCAAGGTTACAGAAATTTGAGGATACAGAATGCCTCCCGTAAGTCCCATTATAAAATTTTTTGGGTTGTGCAAGAATTAATGTTATTATGAAAGGTAATTATTGTAGTTCGGTGTAACACCACTATTTTCAGAGGATTATGCATAAGGCGGCTGAGGACATCCCCTTGTGAGATGCCATTTGTGATTCAGTACAGGGTACAGTACATATTTACCTTATGGAAGGGTCATTTTCGGTTTGCAGAAAATTCCAATTCCAGATAGGGTCCACAAATTGAACCTTTCCATAAGCTGGGGAGTGTCTGTAGTTGAAATTCTTCCCATCAAATGTATTATTTAACTAGTATTTGGAGGTGTTGTGCCTCCTTAATCCTGTATTTTGTTGACTTCAGATACCTAAGACACCTGAGCAAGGCATTAGGCTGTAAATGAAGGACTGATCTTGAAATTCCCTTTTATAGTTGAATTAGTTCGGTGAATAATGGTAGGAGTCTTTAGAACCTCAGGTTTATAACCTGTAGACTTAAATGTATCTTGATATTCTGTCACTCAAGAAAATTTATGATTACTTTGAAAAAATCCTCATGGTTAGAAGAATACTGTATGTATGTAAAAATAATACAGTATTGATTTTACTAATATATTTATATCTACTTCAAATTACAGTTAGAAACAAAAGCAGAATCAAATGAGATGGAAGCTGAAGAAGAAAAGAAACGAAGAGCAAAAATTAAAGAGATAATTGAAGGAACTGTTGTTCCAACAGCACAGCTGAAGAAGAAGAAAAAGAAATTGAATATATAATTTATTTGTGGTCCTTTTGCTTCACTTATACACTTATACAGATTAACATGTATTTAAAATGCATAGTTGTCATTTATTTGGCATAATATAATTTTTTAAATTATGCTTGCTCTCTGTCACTGTTGAGTTTGGAAGGCCCCAAACATGTATTTAAAATATATATTTATGTAATTTTTTAGGCATTTTATAAAAAATATAAATTATGCTTGTTGTCTTGGACTGTTGAGTTAGGAAGCCCCAAGTACCATTGTTGGGTACAGAAGAGCCACAAGTCCATGCCTGTTGAGCTAGGAAGAAGTCCAAGTATGACTGCCAAGTTCAGTAGTACCTCCAAGCATCACAGATTCAGAACTATCTTACACAGAAGACCTTCAGAGAGCCACAGGCATGGACCTATTGAGTTTGTAAGCCACTCCAAGTTTGTTTGATATACTTTTCATTACAATTATTGAGGATACTGGGCTTAACCCTTAAGCCCCGAATTAGGTTGGTGTTGGCAATAACGCCCCCCCCCCCGTGCAGAGATAAATCGAAAAGAAAATCGACTTTAAAAAAAAAAACGGGAAAATAGGCAGACGTTCTGGAACATCACCCGGGGCCTGAGGGTTAAGACACCAACATGTGCACAATTCCCCTTTAGCCCAAACTCTCCATTACCCAGAATTGAAATTTGCTCTTGAATTTTTCTGGAAAAATTCTCTCAATTCCGGGTCTATGAATGAGTTTCTAAGGTTGAAAATTAGGCACATTTTCTGAGAAAATTCTGGTCATTTTCCAAAAAATCTCTCCTTTCTGGGCCTGGGAATAAAATTTCATGGAGTTCCAAGAGATTGCATCATGCTTTAACACAATCCCACGTGCCAGGTGGCCTAGGTGTTTGGATCGCTCAGTTCATATTCTGTTACCATTGCAGTAGGTTGTTCTGGGGCAGATCTAGGAATATCAAAAGAGGGGTAGGGGGATCCAAGAAGTTGTGGGTGGGGGAACATGGTGAGCACAGGAGCCCACCCAGCTGGGGAGGGGGGGAATATAAGTCACCCCCTCCCCAGAATTTTTGGGGAAATTTTACCACTGCCATGGACATTTTGATGCCATGTACACTTGATATTAGGAGATATTCTGAGGTCATTAGTGGTTACTTTTTATGATACAAAAATGCCTGAGTACAATACAGTACTGCATTAGAAAAAAAATATTGGAATTTTCTGATGAAAAGGGGGGTCCAGGACCCCCGTTGTGGATCCGCCCCTGTTGTTACCTTGCTAGCTGCTGTTTTTGCATACAATTTGTGTCGTGCAGTGCTGTACATTACTGTACCAGAACAAAGTCAGTAAAGAATACGTACAGTGTTAAAGCTGTGTGAAGAATGTAAAAAGTGATTACAGTTACATATACCCTGTACTGTTCTGTACATGGGAAACACTGGAGCACCTTAGCTTTCGTCTTTATTCAAGATATCTTCAGGTCATGAGACTCAGTAATCCCCCACCCCGACAATGGTTGACCTGATATTTCATCAGATCAGGTGTTAAGACATGATTACTGTTACAAACAGGCACCACCCTGGTTACGGAAGGGTTCCATTCATGAAAATCTTAATGTACTACGAAATTCCATGTCGTGAAACCACTTTTTCCATTGAATCCCATTATATAAGTTGAGATCCTTCCTATGGAAATTTTTTGCAGCCCAAAAATGTAACACGAGCACAAATATGAATGAAAATAGACACACAGTACAATGATTCATTCATGATGTAACATGACAATTATGCACACACTTGAATTTAACTCGCCGGAAACAATGTTAAGTGCTGCAGGAGATGGTGAGGTGGTGCGATTGGAGTTTCTGAGCGTTACCGCCTTAAAACATCATTTTTATATTCCAACGTAATTCCTTTATGGAATCTTTTATTACTGCTTTCACATGAACTTGATGGTCTTTTTCCATTCGTCTTTAATAAAGGTACACAGTAGCACAGATGCATAATGTTGCAGAATGGTGGTCCCAGAATGTGTCAAATCATAGGTTTCCCCACTCCGTCAACAGAGTAAAGAGTAACAAGGTGGCCAAAGTAGCACTTTGGGTAATGTTACACTAAGGTGTGTAAAACCAAAGTATCTCATGAGTGTGGGGTTACAAATATATATATGCAAGAAAATCAATAAATAAAAGGGATAAGAAATACACAGAGTAAAAGAGAAAACTTGTCTATTAACAAAAGGAATAAAGCCTCTGACAAGAGTACATAATAAACATGAATCAAACAGAAGATAGGTTCACTAGGTATTAACCGGTTTGGAATATTCTCAACTTGGCAAGCATGAACAGATGTGAAATTAATGGTAATTAAAGTGACACTAGCAAATAATAACTATAGCTGGGTAAACAAATCAATACAATGTTAAGTAACACACAAAGAAATTTGTGTAACTTCACCCAGTTAATTCTTTCTCCTAGTCACTTTCAGTATTCACTTTAATAAATGTTCATAAATCACCACCATTCTTTCATCACTATGATATTAATATCCTTTAAATATAATACACAAAAATATTGTAGCCTACTTTTCTCCTCTTTCCTTAATTCACTCACACACACTCAACTTAACACAATGTATACTCAAGTTTATGTTTGTATGCCTGTGTGTTAAACTCCGTAGGCACCATATCCTTCTTTCCTCAATCACGTCAAACCTGCTTCTGTCTCCTGTGTACCATGGACTTGCTCGGAGAGAGTGAGCCGTGACTTCACGCCACGTCACATTTTTGGTGGGAGTCCACGAACCAATCATGCATCCGCTTTCCAGTGGCGACACACAACGTCACTCCTGACTCCAATTTCACAAGCTCAACCCGTACTTAGGCACAGTCCCGTTGTTATTGCTGTGGCTGTTTCCAATTCCTCCTATCTACTTCCGGAACTCACGTTACGTCACAATAACTAAACACAAATTCAGGAAAGGTTTCAAACTCAGCAGTGCCATTGTTATGGTGGCTGCAAGCAGCCACCCATTTCTATAGTCAATGTCGCTATAGTTAAAGTTCCCCATGTTAAAGAGGTGGCTAGGGTTGAGCATAGTTTGGGGATCTGTAGATACATCCAACAATAAGTAAGTCCTCTCCCTTTAGTTTAATTTTACACTAATTGGATTCTTCAAAAACATCCTCTCCCTGTACCTTCACCTGGTTGGCTTTATGGTCTTGCCTCGCATAGATAACCACACCCCTCTTGTAAGTTTCTTGAGAAAGGTGTGTAAATAAGTCATAGCCATCAATACTGAATGATGGTGCACACAATACAGCACTTTTTTTTTTCATTGTGGGTGAAGTTATAAATTACTGTATAGTACGTGCTAACTGCAAGAACAGTGTAAGACTTAGTAAATATTCAGTTCGAGAGATGATGTAATAAGCAATTTCTGGAACTTTCGAGAACATTTTTCTGTTACCTGGAAAGCTCCGGGGATGAAGGATATTTTTCCTGGTTCGAGAGATGATGTGGTGGGCAATTTCTGGAATTTCCAAGAACATTTTTCTATTTGCCTGGAAAATTCCAGGGTCAAGGGATTTTTTTCCGGCTTTGAGAGAGTCGTCTCGTTACCCGGAACTCTCTCATTCCCGGAAGTGCTCTGCACCAATTGTTCCAGCTAACAGAGATATATTACATTCCAAACATTATTTGTCATGCACAAAGTTTGTGTCAAAGAGAACTGCATGTGACAATACAGGAACACCATACATGGGAGCTTACAAATGATATTTTATAAAGGCTCTAATTACATTGTAGTACAAAACATTTTTTTGAACAGCTTGGCATGACAAATATCAGAATGAATAAGCACTATGGCTCGTGTTATCTCAGAATGGTTCGTATACCTGGTTGAGAAATGACTCGGTATTTCATAATAATACTGTATATGTTGCTTGTCTCTATAGTATTTATATGTAAAAAGAAGTACTTAATTTGCAATTAAACTTCCTCAGAGAGCAATGTTCGGATTTATTGTTCGTTTTATCATATATCACCCTTAGAGCATTTGAGACTTTTTGTGGTGGGTGTACATCCAGTCTTCACTCATTATAATTTTTGCACAATTCTGTAAATTCCTATTTTTTGTCATGGAATATACTGTATTGCTTATGTCCTGAGTAAAAGCTAAACAGATAGCTGGCCACTCAGACATGCCACATGCAATATGATCTTAATTTCAAAGAACATTATTTCTTGTTTACCCTTGATTTGGGCAAACAAATCAGTACTGTACAGTATTCCGTTAACAATCAAACCTTACCTACTGTATCTACCCTCGTATACAGGTTTTGCCCGATGATCAGGGCCCTATCTATTGATCTCCCTATCTACAATATTCCGCTTTAATGATGGTGAGGTGTTACGATCACCCTCTCTATTTACAATGTAAACACAGTAAACCCTCGATAACTCGGCACATATGGGGCTCTGGCCTTGCTGAGTTATCCCAAATTCTGAATTATCGAGGCACTTCCTCCCACCTACAAAAATACAACAATAAAAATTATTGACTCATATATGTGTACTGTACATGTAATTACTAAATGTAAAAAAGTAACTCTTATTAGCACTGCAGGTGAGGAATTGAAGCATCATAGAAAGTGACACAGATGCATGGTAGGCGAGACAGAGGCATGGTGTGTGACACAGAGGTATGGTGGGTGACACAGAGGCATGGTAGGTGATGCAGGTGGCCATATATGCCAAGATTTATCTAGATAATTTTATATATATCGGCATTTCCTGAGTTATACTATACACAAAACCCTTGATAACTGGGCACATATGTGGCTCTGGTCTTGCCAAGTTATTGCAAATTCGGAGTTATCGAGGCACTTCCCCCCTCCTACATAAGTACAAATAAAAAAATTATCGACCCATATGTGTGTACAGTAAGTCCTCGTATAACGTTGCCCCGATTAATTTGTTTTGGTACTACGTCGCTACTCTTTAGATACTAATAATTCTTTTAACGTCCCAATGACTCAATTTAACATTGCTTTTGCTTCATCACGGACTACTTTTTATGGCGCATCACCCTCTATCGTCTGGCCGTGCTACCTCTCACTAGTGGAACTTCACAGCATCCCCAAGCGATGCTACGCTTCCACATCTTTCATGTGTGTTTAATTGGTTTTGCTCTAAATACTGTACTCTAACTATTTGAAATG